GGCTAGCTCAGATAGCCCTCGTGTAGCTTTGCGCGAAATTCCAAAACAAACAAACAAATCAGGAGGGCTTGAAACCATACTGCTAACTTTTAGTAGACATGAAACTGCTCTGGTACTTTTACAGTCACCTAGGATTATGCTAGATTTCTTACCCTCTCTTTCTTCTCCCTTTTGCACCAGTACAGGTAGCAAGATGCGACAAAAAACAACAGTAAAACAAAGTGCAAGTCACGCAAGTTTTTGTAAACAGCCTAATTCACTGATCCACCACCCTAAAATGAAGGGAAAGGTTAAAAAGATGATGCAATAAGTATTTATGGTAGCAAAGAACTGGGGAGAGAAACTATATTTTTAAAATGTTATATAAGAGTGAGGCAGGAATTAGACAAGGTAATACACAGATGGAATGAATGAACCCTTTCACTATGGGTTCAGTTGACGTGACAGAGTTTGGAACCCCAAAATAACCATTAGTTTCCATACTATAACTTTTAATATGATACGTGTATCTTCAGAAAGTTTGGCAAGCTTTCAGTAAACATTACTGTCTTTTGTACAAAAAAAATCAGATTTTTTAATGAAGTATTTTAAGTAAAAATTTGTCTATGAATATATGGAGTCAAAGTGTTGACTATTCCAAGTGCAAAATGATTTTCATTTTAAGATTAAAAATTCTTTTATTCGTCGGAAATTTATCAAATTTCATTTGCATAATGTCTAAAATATCCTAATTAAATATCAAACTTCTTTGAATAAAACTATATTTTATTTGTTATTTTCTCCACCCTAGTAAAATTTTCACTACATAATGATACAACATAAAGATATGTAGCTTTCACTATAGTATTGCACACAAATGATTCTAGATCATGGTGGAGCTCCTTTCCAGTATATTTAAATAATAAATTACTTGACAATCAACATGAAATAATTTGAAAAGGCACTAATCTCCACTATGTTATGAATACAAACAAACTGACATAGGGGTCATATCTGTGCCGGTGGATAAACCATACCATTAAATCTCATGTTCATCAACTTAGTTGGTCTTCCACTAAAACTTTTTAAACCATAATTGGAAAACAATCACCTACATGTTGAATACACTTTTTGTCCTGTCACTATAGTAAAAAAAAATGTGTAATTATACAATTATTATAAATTTAGTTAATAAACTAAAAAAATTCAAAGTGGCTATTTCAGGCTGATGCATGTTGACCTAATCTTAATTTATACACAAACCAATTAGGATCTCTTTTTATTTTTCAAGTTCAAAATCTTAAAAACCATCTTGCCACTTTCTTTTTCAGCTTCAAAAATTTCTCAAACCGTCGCATTTCCTCATTTCCCCCACTTCAAGCACTGTCTACAACTTAACACATGCTGTTCTAGCAAGTTCTTATTCAATATGTCATACAAGTTTTGTGAAAAGTGATTTTAAGTTAGATAATTAGTAACTAGAATAAAAAAGAAAAACCTGTTTCATCAATAAATGTTCTAAAATAGCTTTGTTATATTTATTAAAGTCCTGAATAATTAACGAGATGATTACACCATTTGTCGAAAGTTAAAATAAAGTGCACGTTTTTAGAAGATAGTTAAAAAGAGGAAAATAATTCCCTTTTTTATTTTTCTAAATACAGTAGTTATACTAGTTGTAAATGTAGAAGAATAAATTGATAAAAAAAAAATTTAGAAAATTTTTATTATTTTTTAAACTGATTAACATTAAATGGAAGTTACCTTCTGTATGTGTACTTTACTTATTCTTGTCAAAGTTGCACTTAGTTAGAATTTTTTTGTTTTTGGTGTGGGTGGGGAAGTTGGTTGTTGTTTACTTTCTTAACACTTTGGATGAGTTTTATATTTCATATTTCATCTTATGAATCATGCTAATTCCTTTGTTGAAAGAGGATTAGAGAGAAAACATTTGATCAACCTGTGTACATTCTTTCTTTTTTTTTTTTCAGTTAAGAGTACCAAAATAAATTCTTGGGTAGTGATTCTAATATTGAGATTTTTTTTTTATCAAGAATGGTCAATTTCTCTTTACCTGGTTAATCAATTAAGTTTTGTCCAACACTTTGAAAACTGCAGTTCCAATTATTGACTATCTGTAAGTATATAGATTGGTGGGAGATGTGGTATCCAAGGAAGCAGAACAATTTATCCTTACTTTTTTTTACTACTGGATGAATACATACTAAACCTTACATTTAAAACATTTATATTGTTACGACAGCGTAAGTCACGTGACATTGGAAACAAGTAATGAGTATCTAGAAGGTTAGCGAAAAACGCTAGTGCGTGCTATGCACGTGTTTGGGTTATGACAGCAGAAGTCAAGTGATGCTGGCAGCACGTGATGAGTGTCTAGAAGATTCTCGAAGAGACTACGCGGGTGCTATTATGGTATATAAGTGCACTAGACAAAGGAGAGAGGGAGAGTGGGGAACCAAGAACAGCAGTTACGGTCAGTGGGAACCGAGGATAGCAGGTACAGAGATCGGAACTATAGTTGCTGACAGGCGGAGATAGAGACGGACAATTAAATCAAGCGTGGTAGTAAAGTGAGTGAATTGTTGTGAATTATAGCGTGTGTTTAAGTTAAAGTAACTGTGGAAATTAAGTGTATTGCAAATTTGTATTGAGGAAGTTTTATTTAAGAAAGGACTTGTATCGCAGGAAAATTAACAAATGAACATACAGAGACGTAACAATATTGTAAAAGCTATTTGTCCTAGGAAAACTAAATTTCATATTATACTAAGAATCAATAGTTTTACTCAGGAAAGTTTGGATTTCATACAGGATATTTCAAAAAATGTCACAGAAGTTATTCAATACTTTCTGTCGTTGTCAATTAGCATGACAGGCATATTCATAAATAAAGCTACTGCAAATATCATCTGCTCTGGACAGCATTTATTGATCCTTGTAATATCCCACATACTGAGATGCATTTTATTCAAAACCAATTTGTATTGTTTAAAGAAAGAGAGGGGAAAAAAGTAGTGCTAGTTTGTGAGGAGAGTGATTGATAAACGGTCTTAAACACCATATACCATGTCCAGATTTTCTTGAATAACATTTGTCATTCTCATTGTACCTCTGGTGAGATTTTTTTAATCTAGGGCAAGTACTTTTTAAGATATAACTTTGTTAAATATACAATTTTTTTTACAATATCCCTGTATATTAAGAAGAAAGCTATTTTTAGTTCATTGTTCAAAATCTCTTCCACAATAAAATGGTGTAGCTTACGGAATTTTATCAGATTTTATAGTAGGTAGATTCCATTAACTAATTTCCAGTGAAAAAAAAAGAAAACAATTGTAAAAAACTGAACAGAGTCAATTTGATAAATGAAGTGTGGATTTTACCTTTATAAGAACCATGTTACTTATTGTCATTACTGTAAATTTTTTTACATCATGCCAGTTGAGCTTTATTTCTTATTATCTTACACTCAGATAGATACACTGCTACCAGAGTGTAGAAAGAACTACAAATTTTACTCTTCAGTATTTAGGTAGAATGTATATATTCATATATAATATATGTTTTGCTTGTATTTAATTAGTATCCTTATTAACAGATTGTACAAATTACTTCATGTAGACAAGGGTTACGTACTACATTTATTCTCCCATAAGGCTTATATTTGTATGATCCTGTTTCTGTGTCATGCCCTTATGGAGTTGAGGACATGCTCATTTCAAGGTGTTACAAAGATCTGTACAAGTTAGTATGAGTTGGGGATTTACTCTTTTGAATATCTATATTGGTAATGATAATCAATTTAGGTAATCAGAGTTGTGGATAGTGCACTGTGACATTTGTCCTACTTGAAAGTGTGGTATTAGGGTTCTTGCTCCTATTTTATATTATGTGGTCGTTTTCTCCAGCATAAAGAGTTATTTGAGGCAAAATAAAGAAACTTGTCAGTTTAGTAAAGACCCAGCATTCATTTATTTGTGTTTGATTTTTTTGCCTTTGCTATCCATGTTCTGTGCAATATTTGTGAGTGAACTGCAGTGGGGGTAATTTTGCTTATTTCCACTGTGGAGATCAAAAAAGGGAAGCATATTAAAACATAGTTTTATATTTCAACCAAAAAGATTCATTCTCTATAGATCAACATACATTTTTACAAGAGGTTTGAAATCCATGCTGAAGTACAACTTCAAGTGTTACTCTAAAGTTCTTAAGGCTCTTATATCCATTGTTGGTCAGTGATTTATATATTACATTTTGACCAGCCTGCTGCAGCAGAATTCCTGACCATGTCCAGCAGGTCAAAAGCACACTTCTTGGCCCAAGAAGTGGCAGCTGTGGTCCATCAGAAGTTGACCAATTTCATGCAACAATCAGAACACACTGATGATTGTCCTAACAAGGTTTTCAGTGATCTTTTAGTTTTGGATTTGGACAACCTTTTTTCTCCCCTCCTAGATATGCCTCTTAGTCACGTATCCTGTTGGCTCAGACCTCTTTCCTCTTTGGTGGATTTGTTATTTAGGTATGTTATGTTCTGTACTTATCTTCCATTTCCGTTATTCCACCCCTACCCTTCTCGGCTGTTCCAATCCCTCCACCTCCTTTGTCCAGTCAGGGCTCTCTGAGGGTATATGATATGTACTGCTTCCTTCCATGATTCCTGAGCCCATTTGTTACTTTCCTGAAATCTTCACAGCTTCCATGACCTAGTCCCATCACCATTATGGGTTGAATTTCCCAGTTCATTTGTCTGGTGTTTTCTTCCCTTTTTCTTAGCTTTTTGGCTAAGATCAAAGTGTAGTATCTGTTCTTATCAGCTTAATATCTGATACGGTTCCCATAGGGGACCATTATATTAAACTTATTTTTGTAAGGTTGCGGGGTGTTTGGAGCTTGCTCCACCTCTGCCACTTGTCACCTTTTTCATGTTTTCTTTCCATCTGATCTATCACCTTACCATGTTACTGGCTGCACATTTCCATCTTCCATCAGTGTTGTAAATGTTTATTTGTGGTGGTAAGTACCCTTATGAGTGTAATTCGCTAGTTCATTTGCCTGTCGTTTTCTTCCCTTTCTCCTGATGGTTGTCACATTTTCTTGTTTTCCTACCATCAGATCTATCACCTTACCACGTTCCTGGCTGCACATTTCCATCTTCCCTTGGGAGACATCATCAGTACTGTAACTATTTAGCTGTGGTGGTAAGTACTCTGTTCTCTTTTCTTTGCATGGGCCTTTATTACATATTGGGATCCCACTCTGTGGTGAGTGTTGCCTGACCAGGTATACGTAGTCTTAAATCTGCACTGTATGACCCATGAACATGCTAGATTACTTTGATGTTGAGACTCTTCCTACCACAGACCCGATGTACCATTCCAGATGCCACAAGGTGTTGGTTGATCTACTCCTTCCAATATGTCCTCTATACATCGATATAAAATGTATAAAAAGAAACAAAATAACATGTCACAAGATCATCTTACACCCACCATTGAAATGGGGTGTTCTGCAGGACTGCTCGTAGGTGTATCTTGCAGTCTTTTGCTTAATAAATATGTTTAGTCTGGATTGTACACTCATGGACTAACATGAGTAAAGCAGACAGGGATTGATGCCCATCTCTGATCTGTGGCACTTGATGCTCATCCTACCGTAAACTTGATGTACAATTCCAGATACTGCCAGGTGTTGGATAATGCATCCCGTCAATGTGATCACTCTGCTTTTCAATATAGGGTATAGCAGTCCCCTATTACACTGTCTCCAGAGCTGTGGTTCTCCAGACTCTCCAATGCATTATTTTCCTCCTTCTAGTGAGTATGGAAGTCCTTGCTGCTTACCAGTTTCAAACCACTGGAGTTGTGGACCATGGAGGCCTGTCCACCTGAGTGTGCACAATACCACTCAGTTTGAGAGTAGGGTGGTGGCATTCTGTGGGAGGTCAAAGGAATGATGCCCTTCCTAGCATAGGATACAATGTACAATTCCAGATGTTGGAGGTAGCACTCCACCCTATATATTGCAATTTGCCCCTCCTTCCTATCCTCCTCTGGATGTTGGTTTCTTTCTCTTTCCTACCATCTGCTGGATATCAGTTCCCAGTGGATCTGGTGTTGGTTGTGTTGGAGGTGTGCACATGCAGAGACAGGTTCTTGGTATGGGAGCTTATCTTCTCTGCCAGTACACGTTTTTGAGGTGAAAGGTAGAGAACCCTCTTCCTACCATAGATCTGATGTACAATTCTGGATGCCACCAGATGTTGGTTGAGGTTGAACTTCCATTTATGGATTGTTGCACTCTAGCCACTCTACACCAGGGGTCCCATTGTTTATGTATATTTTGTGACCCCCTCCAAGTTCCCACCCTTCACATTTTGACAACACATTACTAAAGGGTGAAAGTATACCTGGCTCAGAAGTAGTGTGATCTCCCATTGGGGTGTTGTTTTTAATTCCTTATCACACCTCATGGCCTTCCTTTGGGTGGTTCCTAAATAGGAATTATCTTCTCACTGGCCCTCCACCAGTTCAATGTGGGATTCTAGCTTTTTGTGAGAAGAGGTAAGATATTGTATCGGAAGTTAACATTTTCCTAAACTGAAAATGTATTTCCAATAGATACTTACCTCCTCTCACATTTCCCACCTGTCCTCCCCACTTCTGGTGTGATTTGGTTTGGTTAAATATGACCAGTCTTGAAGTGATTACCACATGTGCATGATTAGAGAAGGTGCTAGTTAGGATAGGGGTAGTGTTACACTCTTATTGGTGGAGGGTTGCTGCATGATCACTTGCATGTTAGTATGCAGTAATAAGTGGGAGTACCAAGACTAGTGGCAAGCGAAAGTTATGCTGATAGAGGGCATTACAAGTCGAGAAAGCTTTTTGTAAGAGGAGGTAAGCATCTATCGGAAATACATTTTGAGTTTAAGAAAATATTAACTTCAAACCTTTTTCTTGGATTCTGAACTCGTTTACATTCGAATGTGAATTCCGAATTTCATGTCACGTCTTCTACTCTAACTAATACTTCGAATATCGTGACACAGGCTTCGGGTATGGAGGTCTCTGCTGAGGATATCTTGGCTTTAGTTTGTCAGGAGATTGAACTTTACATGGGTCACTCCTCTTCTCCTGACCCTATCCAGATGCTTCTGATACCAGTAGAACCAATTCATGATGACGATAATTTTAACAGCCTGTTTTCTTCACCCCACCCTCCTTTGCTGTGCAACCCAATACCTTTCCTGAGGAATCAGCCAGGCCCCTCAGCCTTCTCGAATATGATTTCTCAAGTATGTTACTTTTTATTTGTATCCCCAGTTTCATATGATCCTGCCTCACTGTCTGGGTACCTTATGTTTCCTCCTTCTCCAGATATCAGGGTCTATGCTGATAATTTCCTCTCTCAATTGAGGGTAGGGGTCAGCATACCCCGACCCCATGGGCTTCATATATTTATGACTTGGCTTACCATCAGACTGGTTTTCCTTTTCTGGACTCTCGTCAGCTCGAGTCCCTTCTGTCTGTGTGGGGGCTGACCCTGAGAGTTCTGTGAGTTTTCCTACTTTCATCTTGCCTTTACTTGTATCTTTGGTACTTTTCTTCTATAGGATACACACACCCTAATTTCCTCCACATTAAATGATTGTTCTTCTCTGCCCTATCCCTTTACACGTGGCTTCTTTGCTGCTGGGATCTCCTGGGTAGGAATGCTTTCTTGTCTCAGTTTCACCTGTCCTCCATTTATCTACACGACTATGGATGTCCCCTTTTCTGCATAGATCTATTTTTGGAGATATCCCTGAATCTTTGGAGTCATGTGAAATCTGCAAGGCAATACTTAGCTCTTTCTTCTTTGGTTGCTCATTTATCTCAACCTGCTCCTATTCCTGCTTCAATTCAGGTTTCCCATCCTTTGTCTTCCTAACCCTTGCATGATTCTTCTTCCAGAGGTCCTACAGAGAGAAGATTTTGCACATGCCATCTTGTTTATACATTATCACCATCCAAGCTGAACATATTAACTGTATAAAAATCGTTAAACCTTTCAAACATGCGTTTTAAAACACAAATAATACATAATTAATTAAAATATAAAACTAAAACCTAAATGCACTAATACATATAAAGAGAGAAATAATTGCCAATTGCTACATACACTTCAAGAGAACGATGGACGTAGCATCCCATTTTAAAACGAAATCGTACACATACATTTACTGTCACATTAACGAATTCAGTAGAGAAATCTGCACTTATAAGTATGCTATTGAACTTCAAACTGTCACCTAGCAACACAGCTTCGGTTTTGCAAGTTTGCACAGCTGACCTTAAACTAAGAAAAATACTTACAATGTTTATTGGGGGAGAATGTATTTTAATGGCCATGAGAAAGAAATTGAAAACATCTGTACTGTGTATTTTGGCCATCTGAAGGAACTGTCTGCATTCCAAATACAGTTTCTTCTGTCCAGCTCTTAAACTTGAGAAATTGAAAACGTGAGTAGATCACATGACAGTAAAAACTGTAGTTGTAATTGCTGTTTTAGATGTATTATTTTGAAATAAAGGAATAAAACTTTGAATTATAATGTACTTGATAACAATAATTTTGCTTGGGTCATGCACACATGTGGTTTTGTCAGTGAACATTACATGAACAGTGGAATCTTGCTTGGGATCCCTTGGACTTCTCTAATACTTTCACTACTTTTTTCCTGGATAATCTCCCTTAGTGGATGGACAGAGACAATGCTATGATGGGGGTGTCGCTTCCTACTCTTCATACAAATTTACATCTGTTCACCAATGCTTCTCTCTCTCTCGGGCTGGGGTGTGTGGTTCAACCATCAGAAGACTTCCTTCCAGATGGTGGTCTCCAGTCGAACAATCCTGCCATATAAACATCTTGGAGCTTCTAGCAGTATGTTGTGCTTTTGATCATTTCCTTCCTGTTGTTCAGAACATATTGGTTATGATCCATTCTGACAACTCTACTGTTATCTAATATATCAATCATCAAAAGGACACCAGTTCTCTTTTGCTTTATTGGGCCAACACACTTTATATATGTTTCGTGGTGTGTCATGTTCAATCATCCAATATTCTCTGCGTCAGATCCTTCTGGTTGCTCCTTTCTGGCCAGCACAACCCTGGTTTCCACTTCTCCTTCAGCTTCAAACGACTCTTCCCTTGACATTGTCCCTCCTTCATCAACCTTAGTCACTGGCCATCCCTACCCTTCACACACTCCATCTTCATGTGTGGCATTTATCTGGTCCCTTGCTAGGAAATCCTGTTTATCCATGCATGAAACATCCCTTTTGTCCCATTCCATTCGTCCTTCTTTCCTTGCAGTTTATCAATGGAAGTGGAAGAAATTTCTGCCATAAAGTTTCTCATTAACAGCCCACTGTCCTTCTCCCTACAGATTTCTACATCTGGATGTTCCATCATGGTGCTTCTGTTTCATTCATTGCATTCCATTTTTTACAGGTACCATTCTGTATTTTCCTCTCCTGCCATTTTCCTGTTATTGCATTTCTTCTAAATTAGTCTACCTCCCCATTGGGAAGTCCTTCTGGATTGGGAAGTCAATATTGTTCTCCACTCCCCAACCCTCCCTCCATTTGAGCCTCTCACCTCCTGTTGCATGTATCATCTATCCCTTAAGACTTTCCTTTTCTTCTTAGCCTGTTGGCGTTGTCAGTCTAAGATCTTTGCCATCAACACTTAACATACTCTTTTTCATTCCACATATGTTCTCCTATACCTCAATCAAACATTCCTGCCTAAAACATTGGCAGCTCGTGAAGAGAATTTTCTGTTTATGCCGATTTCCCTTCCTTCCATTTCTCACATGTATTCTCAGTCAGATCTGGATAGACTTCTACGTCCTCTTTGTGCCCTTCCTTGTAATATTGTCTGCACGGCTTCTTTCCATGGATCCCCATCCCGCCTCTTCAGTCACTAGAACATTTTGTCACAGTGTGATCTTTCCCCTTCTACCCTGAAAAGCTAGGTTCATCAGCTTATCAGTCTGGCATATTCCTCTCTGCCTCCTCCTTCCAGAAGACTTTTCCAGGTGATGTATCATCAAATATGGCACCTTACCTTCTCCCTGGCATCTCATCTCTATTGTCCTATGGAAGAGATTCTTTGGGCATGTGAACTACCTCTTAAATGTTCATCTCCCACTACCTTCATCGGGTGGCCGTTTCTTCCTCATCTGAATACCACCTTTCACCTGTTGCCATACTTCATACATCAGTTTGACTGTGACATGGTATGTTTGCTATACTTTTTCCTTTTTATTACAGAGATATGCACCTATTCGGTCGTAGATCCTGCTCAATAGCGAGTGTTGCCTGTCCAAGTATAATTCTTGCACAAAATTCAACACTGTATGGCCTAACATCAGTCATACTGGGGCATATTATTTACCATTTGGTGGTTCAAGTGTTCCACCTCCATGCGGTGGGACTCAGGGGTTGATGTTATGTGGACCCAGCTATATTCGCCCCAAGGACTGATATTGCATGTGGCATTGGCTTGTAATCCATGTTCTCTAGCTTCTGTTCAGTTCTATCTGGGGGATGATGTTGCATAGGGTCCACATATACCTCATGTGTTTCAAGTTCTTTTGTTCGGCTCTGGGGCTTATGTTGTATGGGGGGATGCACCGAAATCCCATGCTCCACCTTCTATTTTTGCTTGGAGGTTGTGACTCTGCGGTATGTGGCATCTTCTCCATGTGCTTCATCCCATAGAGTTGTGTGAAGTGGTTGATATTGTATGGATTATACTCTGTTACTCCATGTGCCCCATCTCTGTGGGGTTGGGCCCAGAATGATGATGTTGTGAGGGTTGATTTGGCCATCATACCAAAGTTACTTTGGGCAGACGCTGTACCCTCCAATCTCGATGTATACCAATGGTCAATAATGCCCACTGTTGAGATGAGGTGTTCCACAAGACAACTTTTATGTCTTTCTTGCTGTGCTTTGTTTCATAACTGTGCTCATTCTAAACCATACCGACTCGTATCATGAGTAAAGCAGAAGGGGATAGCTACCCATCCTTGTCATTCCTTTGAATAAATTGGGGGCAGTCTGCTTATCAAAATAGGGACTTTGTGGTCATCCATTACACTGTCTACGGTGTTGGCATTCCTTTGGACTCCCAACACATTCCCCTCCTTCTTCTAGTGGAGAAAGGGAGTCTTTACCACTTACCAATTCCTAGCCCCTGAAGTGGTAGACCATGGAGGCTGCCTCCTAAATTTGTTCAATTCCATTCAATTGAGAGTCGGGCAGTGTTGTTCTACTGGTGTAGATAGTGTAGATCCTCCACCTAAATCATACATAAAATCGTGAGAAGATCTGCCACAATGCAGTTCATCCCTCGAGTTGGGATCCCTTGTCCTACTATCAACTGGATGTCAGTTCCCAGAAAGTGGTTTTGGATTAGAGCTGAACCATCCACCATAAGACCTCACACATGTGTTGGTAGGGATTCCCTGTCCTATCATAATCACGTAGTTCTACCCTTGCACTTCAATTTCATGCTATAGTCCCTCCATGCACACCATCCCCATGAGGTTCAAACCCAGAGGATGATGTTGTGTGGAGTGGTACCAGTCAGGTTGGTCTTGCATTTGAGCAAACTGCCATACTGGTACATCCCTTCCTATCGTCATTTGAATGTTGGATTCCCGGGTGGCTAGTGTTGTTTGTGAGTTTGCACAAACATGCCCTCTTTAGTCAGACAGTGCAAAATTTCTTCTTTCTGTCTCCTAAACTTGAGGTGAAGATGGTGTGGACCCTCCTTCTACCACAGATCATATTATACATATTGATGCAGACTGGTTTTGGACTGGAGTTGACCTGCCAGGTATGGTCTGTTGTGCCCTAGCCATCACACAACATGGGGCACATCTGTTTTTTCTATCAATTCAGAGATGTGCTTCTAGTGGTTTCTGCCCAGTTATGCAACACTTACTACCACACTGGGTGACCAGTATACGTAGTACAGAAGTGGTGTGGTCTCCCACAGGTGTTCCTCTCCCAATAAAAGTCACTCTCGATGGGTGTTCTTCAGATGCTTTCGAAGGATGCTCATCTATGTCCCTCACACTGGTCCCTCCACCTTTTCAATGTGGGATTCTAGTTATTGTGTGAGGAGGGGTAAGGTACTGTATCGGAAGTTATTATTTATTATTTTCCTACACTGTAAATATATTTCTGATAGGTACTTACCCCCATCACACTTCACACCCTTCCTCCCCACTACTGGTGCTTAATTTCTGTCTAATATCAAAGTAATTGTTAGGCAAAATCGAATAGAGGAGGGTGTGTCACACTGTTATTGGGGAGGGTTGTCGCACATGCCGTGGGGTACATGGAAGTTTCAAGGCTGGTGGCGAGCGAAAAGTTTTGAATATAGAGGGCAGCACTGAACGAGAAAAGCTATCATGTGAGGGGAGGTAAGTACACATTGTAAATATATTTTCAGTTTAGGAAAATAATAACTTTATGAGCAATTTAAGATGAAAAATTGTTGTTCTTTTATTTGTAAATTAATTTAATTTGTGTGATGATTTTAACGATAAAATCTTTTTTGGACTCAAGTTTTACATATTCAAGTGATATTGTGATAGGAAAGAAGAGTGGACCTTTTGAAATCGCAAGGAATTTCACTGTTATCATATTTGTATCTCACTAATGTTCCTCGGAAATATGATACAAAACTACTTGATGAGAACTTTTGAGTTTGTTTGGTAGCGTTAACATTGAAATCTGGAACACCAGTTGCCAGTATTTGACCTTTCATTTTAATAAAATGTACATCTGGTTTCTACAGTTTCTGTTTGAATATTGTAAAGAAGTATTTCGTTAGTTTTCACAGTACATCCTCTTGGCTTCTAGATAAGTTAGGGTACAAACTTATACTTACATTAGATTTTGCATATTTCTGTATTAGAGAAACTTTTGCCGTACTCCTTTCGGGTGCTTTTAATTTGAAAATTTAGAGCATGTATTATTTTCATCATTGCTATAATGACTCTCTAGTACTGCTTTTCATAGATTAATGTCTGCATCATTTCCTTGTATACTAAATGTCAGACAACTAGACTCAGTAACGATGCACCAGTGGGGACTTTAAATCCCCACTTATTTTCCTGGGAATATCAAAAAGATGATACCAGCTTCTTATTCATGATAGGATCATGTGATTGTGCTTCATTCATAGTTTTTGCTTCTTATGAAAGTTGGTATTATTTTATTTTTTCCATATGAAGGCATTTAAAAAAACCGAAACTAAACACCTCAGTGCAATTTAATGTGATTAAGGTGAAACCATCATTTGTTTTTATTTGAGTATACTTAATGTACAAATTTGATATATATTTTGTTTTAATTTAAAGGTTTAAGGCCTGTATATGCCAAATAGACTGATCATGTAATTGTTTTAGGGAGTTACTTGAGTCTTATAAGTGCAGACTACTAAACATATTACGGTTAATCTACAGAACGGTAGTTAAGGACAAGGATCACTTCCACTTTTAAAGAGGTATTGGCTCGGCATGGCCAGGTGGTTAGGGCACTCGACTCGCAATCTGAGGGTCGCGGGTTCGAATCCCCGTCCCACCAAATATGCTCGCCCTTTCAGCCGTGGGGGCGTTATAA